AACTTACACATCAGAGAAAGCTTCACTTAAGTCAGTGATTGCCTAAAAACTCAACACTTACCCACAGCATAAACTAAGTTTCTGTGTGGTACGTTGCTACCCAAATGCACTAAGTCACATCAGGTATTTTTGCACATTCAAAGAAAACACAAACAAGAACAATTTTGTTTCTCCATTTCATACACTGCCTGACCTCAAAAACACAAGTTGTTTCCTCAGTGACTCTCCCTGCCCAGTCGTCACAGTAGTGACCAGGCCCAAACCCAAAATACTGCCAGTGAAAAATCACACTGTAGGAATGGAGGAGGGCAGAATGAATGTCAGGGTTAGGGGCATAGATATGTCTCCTGAAATAACATCTTCTGCCTTATTTGAGGCAAAAAATTTACTTTATTTCATCTGCTGTCCTCCAGCCTCTGCTGCACTTCCTGCCCAAGGAGAGGGGCCAACTTGTCATGAGAAGTAGTGCAGACAGTGAATGCTGCCTGCACAGAGGAAGTGTTGTCACAGCAACTCCACCTGTATCTTTCACAGTTCTGGAAGACAAAAATATTTGCATTCTTAGAAGATCAGAGGAGTTGAGGCTCTTGGCTGATAAAATGGAAACAAGATTTTGAATTAGAAGGACAAAAGAAAAATATGACTGCTGAAAAACTATAGAGTGGTCACATATTAATCATATGTATAAACCATTCAATTAAAATGTCATCGAGGGGAAAAGAGGAGGGAAAATTAAAAATCAAAATCTCAGTTTTACTCTGCTTGGGAAAAATAACAAAGGAGGAAGAAAGGGAAATTTTCCTCACTTGACAAAACCTGACAATTCTTACAGATACTCTTTTAAAAATCACCATCCTGGCTGACACAGAATAGTAATACCATAGGATTAGTTCACTTTTAATTAAGTACTGCATCATTATACTAGCAAGCATACTCACACCATTAAGACTTTTTTGTGTGTGGTAACAGAGGAGTATTACTCTTTCATCAATCCACGACCCATCAACCTGCCCAACATTATTGCAAGACAGTGTGTGTCGTCAAGAGGCTGAAACAGAAGGTTTTGTCAAGGTGTCCTCTTCACTGCTGGAGTATGAAATATTCCAAGCACGACTCTTAAGGAAACCCCTCCCCAAGGTGCACAGAACCCTGTTGATCACATGCAACCTCCTCTCCCCTGGTGCTCTGACAGGCAGAGGAGCTGACATTGCTGCAGATAGAGGACACACACCCTCCACCAGCTCCTCCCTATCCCAGCCAGAGACACAGGCTGGGCACACGGCACCGCTCCCTGCAGTGGGACTGTGTGGAGCAGAGAGAAGTAGAAGATCAGCACAGTGAGTATCAGGACTGCATTGCCAACCCATTACTCTGCTGTCCTACAGACTCCTAATTGCAATACTGCAACAACGCTATCACAGGCTCACATGTACTCCCGCAGCTAGACAGCAGGAGAAGGCAACAAAACAGTTTGTTTGAGTGTAATCAAGCAAAGCAAGCTTCTTTCTAGCAGTCCTATTTTTGGTGACTTGATTAGATACAGGGATATTAAACTTTGGTCTGCAATAGTTACTGGACCAAAGAAGATCAAATCTATAAGACAGTTGCTGTAAAACTAGTTTTGTAAGTGAGCAAAAGGTCATCAGGAATTCACCACCACTGATATGCTCCATCTCCCTCCCATTACATCTGCTGCACTATTTAGTGCTATCTGGTGTACTTGTATATTAAATGACAAATTACAGTGCAGGAGAAAAAAGGTACTTGCCAACAAAAGAACAAGCACTCTCGAGTTTGCTTTTTTTAGAATGCATCTTCCAACAAATGCAGGAAAATATTTAGAAGTATTATTCAAAGGTGCCTTTCAAATCACACTAATATACAGATTCTGAGTGCCCTAACTGAATAGCTCCTAGGAGAGCAATACATTTATATAAAAAGCCTTTAAAAAAAGAGGCTTAGAGTTATAAGAAGACCTTTCTGAAATCATATAAAAATAAAATAATATTGCTAGACTGTCTGAACATTCTTCATAAAAAGACACTCAGTTTTCATTTTCATAAGAAACACTATAGAGCTCAAGAGAACAACACAGATATTTATCACACTTGCCCTTTAAAAATCAAAGGCAACCAATTATACCCAAGTTCTCTCTCATACTTGCATCTTAAGAAGAAAAAGATTAGAGAAAGGAGAGTGGCCTCTACAATTTCTCTTCCCATTCCTTTCTTTATTTTGCTTGTCCAGTTATATGCTATCTCTTTACATAACATCAAGTACATCTGCAAACAGAAACACCTACATTTATCAAAAAGCACAGATTAGAGCTGCCAATACGGACACAGATCATGTAATTTCTGTAACAAATCCTCTATGATCCTAACACAAAACCACGGGTTTAGGCAGGGTGGGGAAGAGAAGGGCAGACCTAGTTCATGAGTGTTCCTCAGCTCTTCCAGCTATACTCAATAAAATATACTAACAATTACACAACAGCAGCAAAGCCCAGAAGGATAAGTTAGCACTCACCATATTTTCTTCATTTCGTGTCAAGCTCTCTCCTACACATTATATACAAACTTCAAGGAGTAAAAAAAGTCTGCCCTGAATCTACTTTGCAGGCTGAGTTTAAGTCACGAATTACAAATGGTTTATGTCACTTCTTACCCAACATATGACCCAAGCTTGCAAAGGGAAAAAGTAAATAAACTAAAAAACTAAAACACACCTTCAACACAATTGAAGCAGAACACTCCCTCCAATTAAACAACAAGTAAACTTATTCAGCTGGTTACTCTCTTAACAAAGAGCAAACAAACAAAAAAAGCCTTCAGTTCTGAATAAGTTATGTCATACTATATAAAAAAGAGGGGACCTAGTGACGGTCTTGTATAAATCTATCAATCTGGAAAAAAACCATGTAAATTGTTCTGCCAACATACATTGAAAGATACGTTTCCCAGGTTTGTTCTGCACGTGGTGGTGAGCACTGATGAGGTTAAAGAAAGGACAAAGAAATAAGCTGTTCTTGCTATTTTGTAGCTTTCGGTATAAAACAGAATAATGTCTTCAGGTCAAATAAAATGTATTTAAACTAAAACTTCAGACAAGCATTTGCTTAAAATCCTCCCCAAAAGCCATGCTTTATAGTGAAAAGCAAAAATAAGGGCCTCCTTACCCATACACCATCCCATAGAACACTTCTGAGTAGCTGTTCATCAATGATAGCTCAAACAAATATACTAAGACATTTCAAGACTGTAAAACAAATGATTTCAAATAGTCAAGATACATCAGCAACGCCAATCAAAGATGCTTCAGGAAGACTCTAGGATATGCAGATCATGCTAAGACCACTTTCCAAGCAATAGGCAAAAGAAACCACACAGTTCTGCAGTCAGCGGTAGAACTACCCTGAGGAAACTGCTTTCAGGAATTGACAATCATAGTGTCATGGGACAATGCCTTGAATTTTAACTAGCACATTCAATATACACAGTGAATCCTCGGGGCCATAAGCTGTATGACTTTAACATCACCATTATGCCCCTAAACTTTCCCACTTCCAATTAATAAAACGCACAACACCTTAAAAGTCAATCCTTCCTTCTGGAAGGCATTTGTGCTTTAAGGCATAAAGCAGACTTTTACAAATGTACCTGCCACTGCAAACACCATGTGGACTTCTTTTAATGAGCAAATACAAACACATAAAAAGATTTTTAAACAGCGTATCTGGATAAGCTTGAGCTGTACCAGGCAAGGCAATTTTGAAGCAGTGCAACGTTGCGACAGTTCTAGCCCGACAGACCAGAATCTAGCTTGCTGCTGGCTGCCACCATCTCCTTAAGAAGAACTGGAAGCTCACCTAGAGTATCCACAGAAACTTTGTGCATCTTGGAAAGGCACACGACAGGGTATCAAAAGGCACATTATCACAGAGGCTTCAGCTCTCGTGTCCTAACAAAAAGAGTGCTCCGTCTGCGTCAACACTGACTTTCTGACTAATCAGGAGTCTGACCAGACTCCAGAGCTGTGTGCTGCCATTCCTTTTTTTCCTTGTTTACATGGACAAGACCTGCAGATGCAGCCTGGGCAGAAGAGAGGGAAAGAATTTTAGGAGGACTGCTCATATGTAGCACTCAGCAGATTAATTTCCTCCCTTTTCCAAGCACATACAAAGAATTGATGGCTGTTTTTCTTGCACAAAGTGCAGCAGCCAGGATGAAAATCAGTGCATTCGAGGACAAGACTAGAGCCTTCCTTAATATTTCAGTTCAGTCCATCACCTTGATGAGCCTATGAATACTAAACGAGCAAAAACAAGTTTAATAATAACCGCAAACCAAGCATGCAGAGGGGAAAAACACTACAGATACTGTAATTAGCTCTGCTAACAGTAAATGAAGAGTCATACAGTTGAGAAATACTGTGTATCACTGCTTGAATGAAAGAGGTTCCCTCTGTTTCCCTTCATTCTGAAGCAGCAGAAAAGACAGCCGCTGTTGCAAGGAATAGAAGACCTACTCTTCCGACATGAACTTCGTGTAACACTTCTTAGCCTTGTGTCCTGACAGTTCTAAGGGAAGACGACTTAGAGACGCACAGACTTAATAAAGAAAAGTTTGGATCTATCAGCTACATGCACAGTACAAATCAACTCTGTTTTGAAGAGATGTACCTTTTTCACAAAATACTAAAATAAAGTGATCTAGATACTTAGGAAAAATCATATTTCTCATTTATACTAAGACAAAATATTGATTGAGAAACCCTTAACACATATTAAGTTTCTAGTTATGGTTTAAAAAAACGTTTCAGTACACAGCATCTCAACCCAGAAACACAATGCATCTGTGTAAGAAAACCAAAAGAAAAACATCCCACATATCCACTAGGTTCAGACATTCCCCTACACATCCCCATACGAAAACATCTCAGTTTTAACACTTATTTACATCTTTATATTAGTACATTTTAAATTAATGAGACATTCTTACCTGTGTATCCTGCCCACCAGCCCCAGGAAGCCACCATAGCTAAAAGCCACTTAAATAACACTCCTTCGATATACCAGAAGCTTTTACTATCCAGCATTCGGAGAGGCTGCAGCATAATTAAATACAAGACGTACGACGGAATAGCGACCAGGTTATTGGCGACCATAAAAGCGAACCTGAGGAGTGCTTTCAGGCAGGTATAGCCCACCCGCCGGGCCTGCTCTAGAGTCACGGCCATGCTCTTCACAGCGGAGGGCGCGGGACCGTCCTGCGGGGAGAGGGAAAACAAGGTGACACAGGTAGCGCTCTCCGAGCGGGGCGAGGGGCAGGGAGAGGCGCGGGTGGCCGCCGGCCCCGGCCCCAGCCCGCTCCCGCCTCCGCCGTGAGTCACCGGGGAGGCACCGACCTCCGCTCAGGGGGGGCGCGAAAGATGCGGTGCGACCCTCCGGCAGCGCCGCCTGCCCTCCGCGGGCTGCGGGGGACCCCATCCCGCGCTGCCTGGCGGGGCGCACACCCCCGGGGAGGGGGTCCCACACCCCCGGGGAGGGGGTCCCAGCCGCCCCCAATCTCCCCCTCCCCAGAAAGGCGGCGGGCGCTCCCGCGGCTGCCGGTGGCCTCCCCCCGCCCCGGCGCGGCTGACAGGAGCCGGGGCCCGCGGGGCGGCGGCGGCCCGGCCGCGGGACTCACCTCCGGCAGGGCGGCGGAGCGGCGGCGGAAGCGGCGGGGCTGGGGGAGCTGGGCCCGGCGGCGGCGGTCCCGGCTGGCGGCGGCGGCTGGCGGCGGCTCATGGACCCGGGGGTGGCTGGCCCGGCCGCGGCAGCGCCGCTCGCCCTGCGGCTCCCTGCGGAGGGAGAGAGGGGGGCGGGCGGCGTGAGCGCGGGGGAGGCGGGAGCGCCGGGCCGGGCGGGCAGGCGCAGACCGCGGGTTCACCTCGGTTCTCCCGCGCCCGCGGCCGGGCCTGGCACGCTTTGCTTTGCTTTGCTTTCCTTTCCCTTCCCCTCCCTTCCCTCACCCTTCCCCGCCCCGCCGGCTCGGCTGGGCTCCGCTCGGCGCTCCGCGGGCGGGACCGCGCCGAGCCCCAGCCCCGCAAGGACAGGCGGTGTCGCGGTCGGCAGCGGGGGGGGGAAGGACCCTGCACCTGCCGGGGGCGGGGGTTCGTACCTCGGCACCGCCGCCGCCTTCGTGCCCCCGCCGCGGGTTCATGCCGGGCGCTGGGGCCGCGCTCCCCGCCCCCGCCGTGACCGCCCGGCAGCGGGGCCGGCGCTGCAGCGAGCACCGCCCCCGCCGGGCAGCGCAGACCCCGCGCCCGCCCGCTCACACACACAGGCACACACAGACACACACAGACACAGATAGGCTCACAGACACACGGCCGGCGGCCCCGAGCGGAGCGGGGCCCTCCTAACCCCGGCAGCGTATCCCGAGCCGGCCCGCGGGATATCCGCACCCTGCGGAGCGGGCAGAGGCGGGGTTGGCCTCAGGGCTTCTGCACCCGTCCCAGGGCCGGGCGTGGAGAGACCGGGAGGACCGAGGGAACGGCCTGAAGTTGTGTCAGGGGAGGTTTAGGTTGGATAGTAGAAAAAAGGTTCTTCACCCAGAGAGTGGTCGGGCACTGGAACAGGCTCCCCAGGGAATTGGTCACAGCACCAAGCCTGACAGAGTTCAAGTTTGGGCAATGCTCTCAGGCACATGGTGTGATTCTTGGAGTGTGCTGTGCAGGGCTAAGGGTTGGACCCGGGGATCCTTGTGGATCCCTTCCAACTCAGGATAGTCTGTGATTCTGTGACTAGGGAGCAGCACGGCCCGGCCCCACGACTTGGCAACCCACTGCTTTAATTCCCTTTCGCGGCTGTTTTTTCGTATAAGTTGGGTAATCGGGGAAGGTGGAAGAGGGAACACTGTCACAGGTCCTCTCAGCACTCTCGTGAAGATCCTTAGGATTCGACAGCAACGGCACATTTTGTCTTGTCCCTGTAGTCGTAAGTCTCTTGTGCATGCTTTTTATAGATAAAATTTTCCAGCTTTCTTCCTTCTCTCTCATCCCTCCCCAGCAGCCACAAACATCATTATGTACTCCCAAAAAAACTCTGCGAAGATCTCCAACCTCTAGTTGCAGAAGCAGCTGTGGGGAGAGACTTTGCAGCCCCATCCAGAGAACCTGCGCCTTTACAAAACCGCTCCAGGGTGAGGAATTTTTGCCTTCTGTGTAACTACAAGATCCCTTGTGGCGATACAGGACTCTTCTCTGTTCGCTGTGCCTGTCTGCTCTTGCCTTCTCTGTAACGCCTGAGCAGACCATGGAAGAGCACTGCCAGACCTCCTTCAGCCCTCTCTGGCCTGACCAGGCTGTTTTCCTCAGCTTACTTCAACTATTACAATAACACTGAGCAGAATGGCTTGTGCAAATGATTTTAACTCAGCTTGAGTTCTTAAGCAAGCGCAGCAGCTGGAAAAAAACACCACCACCTTAAGAAGGAGATATGCTAGAGGGTGTTTTGTGCTGAAAAAAAAAGAAAATTTCAAATTGTAAATGTAGACTGAAAAATATATTGCTTTCACATACTAACTATGCCATGTGTAAAGCTAGTCCACTGTTTCCTAGACAATGAGGCTTCAGAGATGACTGTACCATCAACAAAATTAAATCCCAACCTCCATTTCAGGAAGAAAACAAAGTTGTTATTGCAGATAAATTTAATTTGAGAATTTAAAAATGCAAACAACCATCATGTTCTATTTGAGCAAAACAAAACAAAACTAAACTGCTGACCTTTTTGACAAAAAGGACACATCTTGCATAAGTGTTTCCAAGTCTGGGTGGGTTTTTTGTCTGTGTTATTCTTATTACTGGGTTAAATCTGACAGTTGCGCTCAGTAATCATTATGCAGTCAGCTGGAGGTGTTCTGAAATGTTACCAGCATCAGTAAAACTTGAGTTTTAGGTTGGTATTGGTTTTGTTTGTTTGTTTGTTTTCCATATCTCATGCAAACAACTCTGGGCATACACTAGAAGTTATTTTGCTCCAAAATCCTCTGGTAGAAAAAGAACAATTTTTAGGTCATGATTAAAGATACTTATTTTTTTTTTTTACATATAACAGCAAAATGAAGCCTTGTTTATACATTATTCCAAGGTTTAAAATATGAAAAAAATATGTACAGTTTGGAATACTATTCTGAAATCTGATGCATCCAATGAGGGACTGCAGAAATGACGTTAGACAACTACTGAATTAGCCAATTTATACTGCAGAAAGGAATTGCACATGGGGAAGCAGCCGTACAAAGCATTCATTCTTTGTCAGTGACTGCCGTAGAGCTTAGGAAGCTGTGGTTTAGCATTTTGCTGAATGAGCTCATAGCAAAGACCCACCCCTATTCCTCATTCCCTGGCCTTCACATGGACAACCCAAGTCCTCGGAAGTGTGCACAACAAAATACCCCTTTACTGATCTTGAGAAGCCCAACTGTCTGTCTTCCAGTCTGAGCCTCTGAAGAATCCTTTCTAGTAAAAAGTAACACATACATGTATATGTGTGCCATTTCTGCAAAGAAAAAGAAGGAAACAACTCAAAGCAGCAGAATTGGTTTTGGGTTTTTTTGTGTTTTTTTTTTTAATTTATTTTATTTGGTCAATAACTGTTAACTCTGAAGCTCAGAAGTTCCCCAGCTGGTTTTTGGGTTTGATTTAAAAAAAAAATAAATTCTGATTTCTGGAAGCAATTCCTCAATGTCTGAGCTTCATAAGTTTTCATTAGATCTTGTTTGTCAGTTTATTATTATACATGCAAAAAAGGAAAAAAATTAATATAAGCAATTCTCAATTTGTGGCCTTTTGAATAATTTCTCTAATGTTTATGTATTTTTTGACTGAATACTCCCCTATAACATCTTCTTTTCAGCTTCACAGAAATACTGACAGGGATGTCACTATTGATCATTGTAAAAATGTATTTTAATGTGCTTATTAACTGGTAGATACAGATATGAATATTGATACAATTAGGTGAATAAGTGATGTCAAGGACTGCCGGAGCTGATAAGTAAATATTGGAGTTGTCTCCCACTCACCTCCAGAAAAGCCTACAGACCAAAAACACATTAAAAGAAGGTTAGGCTTATTCCAGCCAATAATAAGGGAAAACATGGTATTATTACTGAGATGTGAATGTTACACAGTAGTAAACACATCTGTCATATTCAGTTACTTTAACAAGTTTTCCTAGACAGTACATGGGTTACTGCATAGTCCAGAAGATTCTTAATTCACACAGGCTGGATTTAAACACTGTATCCGGCTGCAAGATTCAAGTCAGTTTTCAGTCATATACTCCTTGAAAGTCTTTTGAAGAAGATAACGTTTTTCATCTCTGGGTACACTTCAAGAAGTGCTCAGCCACTGTCATTCTCACACGCTACCCTTCCAAGGCATATATTTGCATTCCAACTTTGCTGTAGCATTAAAGTTGCCTGCAAGCATAGCTGTGAGGAGGATATGCACTACAGACATTCAAGTAGTCCACGAGTCACTGAGGCATGGATAACCATAATGAAATCCAGGCTTGAAGCTGTAAACACCAATTAACTAAAAGATTTGTTTCTGGAGTTAGGAAACAGTGAGTTTTGAAATGCTTTTGAACCTCTGTCTGGGTCAAAGACTGGCAAATAAAAAGCTGCTCACTTGTCTCGACCGGATTCAATCAGTTCTCCCTGTTTGCTTTCCTTGTAGCAAACTGAAGTTGCGGATGCCATATGGTTGGAAAAAAGGGTTAGGAGGATGCAGCCGTGTGCTGATGACAGTAAAAACAAAATTGCCTTTAAAAGTCACAAAGGTCTGTCATACAGAGAGCGAAGACAAGAAAATAGCCTGAGAAATCTCAGAAATTCTACACAGCAGAAAACAACTACTGCTTCCAATCTCTCGGAAAGAACAACTTGCTACTTGGAGAATTTTATAAAATTTTATTAAAAAAATAAAAAAAAAATTCCAGAAAAGATGAAAGTAGACAAAACTGCCATGAAGAACTACAAAGATGGGAACATGTGCAAAACACAGACTGTTGGAAGAGGCTTAACGAGAAATAGGGAATATACTCAAGGGTGCATAAATCCAGAAAGCATCTCAAGTGAATTAAGTAGTTACATTGGACTTGGAAAAATAACAATTTAAAGAAGCACCAAGAACCTATGTTTTCTATAGTCTGCAATAAATAAAGGGGGAAAAAAGATAAGAAAACCAAAACACAACACTAAAGGGAGGAAGGTTTAGGACCTGGAAAAAAATTATTACATTTAACCTTCAATTCTGAGCTGCTTTACAGTGTCAAATACCCTGGTGTGGAGGATTTTTGCATTACTATCCTTCAGAACATTAAACATTTTCATAAGAACAGTTAAACCTTCCAAAATATTCTGTAACAGCAGCTTCCACTATGTAGTCTGTATGAGAGGCAAAATCACATCCATTCTTCAAGTAAATTCTTAAATTTAAATGACAGTGTCAGTCACTCCATCTCTACCAGCTGCACCTCAGGAGGAACCATGCTTGTCAAAGACCCTTGATCTTCAGTGGCAAGTTGATCTCATGTTCTTTCTCAGTCATCCAACAGTAGAGGATGATTTTTAAAAGATCTATTTTTGGTAATCTTTCAGATATATGTTCCTTTTGAAGACTCATATCCATTTATCACACAGAAAATGGGAAACCCAGGCCACTTTCCTTTTGTCATT